GTTACCTCATGCCACCATGCTGGTGGAAGTAAACAATATATATCTCATTAGCTCCTTTTGTTCGTCTACCAGCATTTAAATTTGACCCGCACACGTCGACGATGACTGACAAATGAGCCTAGGTCTTCCCAAGGAAGACTACCTTATATAGTGCGCCTTCGTGTTTAATTCTTCTCAGAACAATTTCTTCCATTTACTCATACAGCCATGCTCATGTAGCTGTGTTAGCTTACAAAGGACATAATATTCGGAGGTTCGAACTTTTTGACGTGTTGTAGTTTTGTGATAAAAAGCAGGAGTCCTAGAAATATGAAGGAGCTTATAGTTACAGATTCCCTTAGCACCTTTTTTAATAACCAAATTTAAAATTCCGCTACGTCATTTTGCCAAATAAGGTAACGAGATCGTGCAAAATATGCCACGGTAGTACACTGTAGAACAGAGCAAAAATACGCAGAAACAGAATGGCCGCACTGAACGATTCTGAAGTTCTTGTTTGCTTGGGCTTGACTTTCAAAGAAACGAACTGTTAGGCGCGACAGATGTTCTTGCTAGTCACAAAGAACGCTTTAATGGTTTCGTGCTTTTTATGCAATTGATACGATGCACAAATAAAACCGTGGGATGTATTTCGCAAACTAAAATCAAAATATTACAACGATAAAAAAAACGATAATACTCGTTTTAGCCAGGCAATATTTGAAACCAGAGTTTAGAGAAGTATTTTTTTTGTTTTATTTTTGTTTTGGTTTGCTTTGTTTTGTTTCAGTTTTTTTTAGGGGAGGGGAGGGGGGCTTAATGATGGAGCTTTTCTGGTGTATTAGCGAATAGTTAAAATGTTAGAACTTAGCAATCAGAATCCCAGTCTTATCATCCGGCACTGACTGCGGTTAAAAGATGTGTCTACTTATTCAATAGTTCTCGTATCGTCTCTTTGTGTCTCGTAAACTCCTCTTCTGGTAAAGTTGCACCTTTCATGTATTTACAGAAGTGTTCTTCAGTAAACAAATTGTAGGTTTCTCTCGCTATAAAGAAAACAAACAGTCGCCTTTACAACAGCTACATCACTCCTCTTTCAGGCAAGTTTCTACAGAAGAAAGCTGAGAAGAGATTTCTAAGGCTTCTGGGAGAAAATTGAAGGCTGTTATACAGTACAGAGTTAGGATCAACCGTAAATAGCAAGTCATTGGCTAAACCTGAAATACAACCTACGGAATAGTTGCAAAAAAAAAAAAAAGACATGCATTCATTAGGGGTTTTACTTATTTCATTTGACCTTTCTCTTATTCTTTTCAAGTTCTCTTTTCTGATAGGTTCCTACCACGATTGTTTCTTACATGTAGCTGTGAAACGGGACCTCATAGAAACAACCGTTCAGAAAGACAGGAATTGCCCTTTCTCATTAGTTTTCTGTCGAAGTTTACCAGCAAGCCTTAACATTGTGTTCAAGAGAGACTTTCTTGTTCACGTTGATATATGCTGCCCACTGGGTATTGGCGTCTTCTGAAGATAAATTTAACCTTCGTTTAAAAGCTCTTGCATCGTTTTGTACAAATAAATACTTCAAGCAGTCTGGCGTGATTTAGAGACTGGTATTATGTTTTGCTGAAAATATCTGAACTTACTCTCTACTGAAACGAATCCGGTAAATTCAAAGGCAGCGGTAGGGCGCTCGTCCGCATCATAGGAACTTTTCACCTGGGTACCTATTGACACATACATACCTGGCAGGTAAATACATGAAGCAAACAAAAAACAAATTCGCCGACAGTAAACAGACCAGGAGAAACAATGAGAAGGAAAACGGGCCAAAAAGTTGTCTTTAGAGATGGGTCTTTAGTTTTACAACAAGCAACCTTTGTCCCTCGCATTTAAAAGAGCGTGCTGCGGGGAAACGTTACAATAGATGGACGAACTACCTAACACAAAAGCAAAGGAGTTTAACGCCATGGATTGGATGCCTTTGTTGGAAGTGAAGCAGTCCTTCTCGTTCATCATGCTACAGAAACTACCAGGATTAGCTCAGGCAAGCTTAAATCGAAAGGTCCGATCTTTACTGCATATTGATACAACTACTCACCGCTGACCGGGTTTCGAGGCCAAAGGAAGACCCTGATCACAGGATGGTTGCTTTCTCCATTAACAAACTCGCCGTTTTGAGTCCTTAGGCTACATTTATTTCCCCGTAGAATGAGGAACGTGTGTGCTACTTCGTTTTGCACAAAATATGACGATACTTGATGTATTTTCCTGAAGAGGCAAAACAGAAGGCCCTATAATTTGGATATATCAACAAAGTTGAAATCGTAAATTGGCCACCGTAACGATTACAAAAGCTGACGTTTCGAGCGTTAGCC